TGCCTCCCATTGCCTCTGTCAGGCACAGAACTCCAGGCGAGATGGGACATCTTAGCAGTGCTTGCAATATTAATTTCTGTTGCTATTCTTCCCAAAATAAAGTGCTAGGGATGGGGAGGAGCTGGGACAGAGAACCAAGGGAAGAGCCTTGGATACCCACCACTGTTGCTCCTTAGTTTCCAGAAGTTGGAAAAGGTGCATAGGAGTAATTTCTGGACTGGAGGACAGCCTCCTCCCTCATTTCCAGTCTTCCTTCAGTAGCCATGGGAGTCAGCAAGGCTTTCCAGAGCCTTGTTGCAAAAAGTACTGTCTTTTAATGAAAGAAGATTGAAGAGACTGGAGGTAAATTTACTACGGGGAGGAGATGGTGAGTGAAATTTAGCATTTAGTGTCTCCAGGTGGTTTACAAATAAGAAATACAGTCATCAGCCCTCTGGGGGCTGTACTGTGAATGGAGCCTACTGAATGCAGAGTGCCATGGAGCATCTGTCCACGTTATTCAGTTCCCTAATCTGGGTTCTCTCGGTATTGTGGCTTCAGTTACTGGTACTGAACAGCTTTGAAACAGCGGCCCTAAAATGTTGAAAGTAATGCCATTTTTGTTAATATCAGTTGCATTTAAAAATAACAAAACCAATTGGTTTTATTAAATGCTCAGTAGAATATAAAGCGTGCTTTCAAAAGTTACGCATTTTGAGACTGTGACTACATTAGAAATAAATATATTATTGACTGTTAAGAGTTCTGTTCATACTACATTAACTTTTGTTTGGTATGTTTTTATATTAAATGAAGTGTTTCACACGATACTTCTATGAGATGAAAAAGGAATCGCTTTTTTATGGCACTGTAAGATCTGTAAGAATACAAAGAAGTTTCCTTAGTCCTTTACATTTTTTCTGAATATTCTGTGGTAGAAAACACTGATGACCAGATTCTTTACATACTTTGATTTAATAACTGCAAATCTGAGCTAACATTATACATGGATTCAAACAAGAGCTCATATTTTGCATTAATTTTTATTAATTTAATTAAGTCCAGCACTGCAAAGCCATTGCAACCAGTGTTAACTGTATTGCATGGAAATGTTAAAGGCTTTTGTGTGTGTGTGTGTGAGAGAGATCTGAATTGCTAAAAATATGGTTTGAATCTGATGTTCTGGCCATACTCCTATGGCCACATGCCGCATTGAAATAAGATCAATCATTTTGCCCTTAGAAGACTGTTCTCTCACCACAACTATTAATTTTGTCTGTAAGGGAAGTGAACCTCCTAAAAGCTGGATGTCTTTGCCCGTTGTCTTGGTATCCATATCTTACTGTGATACCATCATTACTTTTCTGCTAAGGGACTGAGTAATATGTGCACAACACCTTGCAAGTGGCTTCTTTTCAATAAGGGAAATGGAAAGGCATCCTGGTGATAACTTAGTACACATAAACTTAAACGCTTCCTACAGCAGCCCTCAAAGGAGAGCTGTTCTGTGCCCAAAGAGCAGTTCTGCATCGAGACTTGATTCTGAACAAAATGCCAAGGCAGGCAGAGGATCTCTCCTGCTCCTTCTTCTCATGCTGCTATATATCCACAAAAGCCTGGGGTAAAAAAGTAGTCAATCAATGACAACCAAAAAAAGCTATCCCATGACTCAAAACTTGTTCCTATAGTAAGAAATGATAACTTCAAAACCAGAATAAATATATTCTGGTATTAGTTGTCATTGCAACACAATGGAAAACTTTTATATATAACCTTTTCCCTCTACTGTTTTTTGTCCTTAAAATGAATTTATATACTTGTAATGCCATAAGACCAATAGTATTGATATTTTAGCAGAATAATCACATTTTATAAAATAGTCTGATGCTTAGGATTATATCCATTAATGACCAGTCCTCATGTTGGAGTGCAGTGCTACTTCTCCTTGGATCAGCCCAACAGCTATCAAAGCAGGAAAAATAAGCAAAGGGCTCTGAAGCAGGAGGACTCATATCCTCAAACAGAGAATATAGAGCTAAAAACAATGTGAGAGAAATGTGAGAGGGGAAGTGTGATCTTATTTCTAAATACTTTTTTACCTGCATGATACATCCTTCTCCCTTTGAGCCTTTCTTTTCTATTGTTCTTTTAATCTCTTCAATGCAGGGTTTTACTATTTGTTATGCCCAGTCATAGTGGTGTCTGCAATATATCTGTGTTGCATTCCTGATTTGGAGGTTATGAACTCTAGACAGAATGCTGCTCTTCTTTTTCCTGGCTGACACGAAGCAGGATGGCCACAGAAGTCTCTGCTCGTTTGGCTGGCACAGAACAACGGGACACAACAGTGTCTCCCCACCTTTTCTTTTTTTTTCTTTATTATTAACCATACACTATCAAGGAGCACCAGAGCCTCTTGTATGGACCACTGTGGTGCAGGGTGGTCTGGTGTGAGGCTCATGCTACTCCAGCACATGAGGTTATGTCCTAATGGAAAGTCTGCTCCACTGCATGGTAGCCAGCTAATGAGAGCTGTGCGCTAAGAGTCCCTCTATTGCAAGCCCTAGCACAGTATGCTGGGCAATTACAGGCTGTTGGTGGTGTCCAGAAGGGTGGTGCTGGAATTACTGGTTGTGGGGATGGCTAGCAGAATGTGTGCTGAATGCAAACCCCCTAAAATCATATGTTCCCTCCTTGACCTTTCTTGGAAATGTAATCACGCGTGTTTCTGTCTTCCTAAATTCATTTGTGTTCCTAAGCCTGTGGCTAGATCTTTTCTTCACAATGAAGAAACATGCGTCCAAATGCGGCCAGATCCCTAGCTACAGTATATGCATACTGAAAACACTGCAAGTGAAAAATGTCTCTGTCCACACTAGAATACATTCTGGGTTTAAAACTGTATGCCATTTGTCAGTTAAATGAGTTAAAACATATGCCTTGTTTGCGTCTGTCATAGTGGTCTGTGACACCCGTCACTGTAGTCTGTAATTCTGCTGTCATTTGCATCTGCTTTAATCATTTCTACCTGTTTCTGAATTTTTAATCCTCTTTTTGAAATTCTACGTAATTTATGTTTTTCTGGTGTTTTAATTAGCAGTTTTACTTCCCGGCGAAGTGCTTGCTGACTGAATCATGCAATCCTTAGCTTGAAAGGAAGGGTGTAAACAAAGAGAATTTTCACTAACAGTCAAAACTACAGCATTTCCACTACAGCATAAAAACTAACTTCAAAGATGAGAGGAAAAAAAACAATACAATAGGAGCTCCAAATATCATTAATGCTGTAGTTGGATCCTGTATCGATAAAAGCAGTTCTGTCATTCACTGTGGAAAGACAATGTTTACCCTTACACGCTTATTAGATAACCTTTTGGCAGCCAGGGCTACGTTCTCGCAGATCCAATAGATTGTACTGCAGGTTGGAAGTGCCGCTGCAGCATTCACACGGCACACTCTTCTAACTCGCAGCTCTTAGTTCCGTGATAATCAAGTCACAGAGGCTGAAATGACCAATTTAGAGTCTAGAACCGAGTCATGCTATTACCATACCCATTGCGTTAGCACGAGAGCTGAATGGTCGTCATATTGTGCAGCATCGTAACATCTAATAAAAACCTTCAGCTGCCACAAATTTTTTAGATTACTGTATTTTCAGTAGTGTTATTTTATATCACTGTTAACAATTCAAAAGCATTGAACAAAGCAAGTGTTTTCAGAGAGCTGTGTCTTTTTGGTTTTTGGTGGTTTTTTAACATGTTTGCAGATATCTGGTAGCTCTCTCCGTCTCCGGATTTCAAGCTTCTTTAGAGTTCTGTGTGAATTAATTTCAACATAAGTCTGTGATAAGTATATTTATGGTCTAGATGATCAAATCTAATTGTGAAATAGCTGTTTTTAGAGTTATGGATGTAGTTTTTTGGAGGTATACAAGTGAGATGCACGAACAGGAAATTATGAAAAGTAGAATATCTATTATGTAGGATTTTCCTTGTAAATTTTATTAATAGGTGAAATCCATGTAAATAGCTTCATTTGATTTAATGAGAAAATACCAACGGCAGATTAGATGAGGGAAAAAGACATTTTAAAGAGACATGTTTATAGTGTTTAGAGTTCAATCACGTTTTCTAAATGTGAAAAATCACTAAGATAAATACAGTGAGACTGAGTTATTCACATGAGTTTGAAGTTAAGAGTCTTGCTGAACTGGAGGAATAAAAAGAAACTTTTCAATGAGAGCTTTTTTTCAAATTAGAAATTAAAGTAGAGAGGGGTTATTTATTTATGTACATATAAGAGGCTTAGTTAGCCCAAAAGTATTAGAAATAAGATTAGGGTAGTATATGAAAATATCGAGTTACAGATCCAATGCCAAGAAATACGATTATATCAAAGTTCAGATCACCTTTGCTCAAGTATTAAATAAAAAAAAAAATTATAGAGTTTTTAAAAATGGTTAAGATGCTTTTGGAGTTTGATAATGTCTCTTTAAGCTTTGCTTTGGACCAGCTGGAGAGGGCATGATGAACATGTTTGTTTTCCAGAGAAGACAGATTAATTTCCAATTAAAAGCTGTTATTAAAAAAAAAAAAATACAGAGCAAATGAATGCATCTTTCTGTGCAACATTTGTGGTCAAATATTGAATAATCTATCTGATAGCTTACTATATGAACTTGAAATTAATTGAAAATAATTATGAAACCTGCCCACGTATTTTCATTATATAAGCTGAGAACAATTAAAAAGCTAAACAAAGAGCCTACAAGATAAAAAATATTTAATTAATTTCAATCCTTATAAATTGCATGAATACAGAAAAGAAAATGTGTTTTGTTTACCTAGCAAGGTCCTTTGAATTGCTCAATAATAATTAATGTATTCATTTGCCAGAAATGCGGGATGGCCGCCCAGTTGTGTTTTGTTAACATCTGCATGCTAAACATCTGAACTCAGTTAATGCGTCATGGAGCTCTACCTCTTTGATGCATCATAACCTTGCACTTTTATTCCTTTCAGAAGGGAATCCATATACCTGGTGGGTTGGAAAAGCCAACGAGAAGCACTACTATTGGGGCGGATCAGGACCTGGCATTCAAAAATGTGCCTGCGGCATCGAACGCAACTGTACTGATCCCAAGTACTACTGCAACTGTGATGCTGATTATAAGCAATGGTGAGTGGTTTACAAGAAGGTAGGGTGAGAATGACCAGAATCTCTTAACTTTTACGATACTGCCATTATTTTGAAAGCTAAAATTGCAAAGTCAAGTCCTAATTGGAAAGGTCAGCATTTTGGCTGCCCATGCAACTTTGTCTCCATCACATTCAGTGATATTACATTACAGTGTTTACATTTTATCTCTGTGACTTCATTTTTTTTCCCCAAAATTTCTCCTTTTTGGAGTACTATTGCTGCATTTGCCCGTAGAATGTGAGAGAGATGAGTTGAAATCACTCATCTAGTGACTCCAACCCTCATTGTCCGTCTTTCATGAGAAATATGTGTTAAGAACTAGGCTTAAAAAGTAATATGGAATGAGGCTCTGTATTTCAGAGGAAGCTATTGCACTTTGCATGAGATAATTAAATATTCATTGGCCTGTTGGTTGAGAATACAAACCTATAACCCGTTTGGAATAAGACAGTGAGAATTGGTTCTAGTTTCTTCTCTAATAAATAGTTATTGATTCATCCCAGGTGGAACAATTTTAACAGAGGGACTGAGGAAGTCCTACCCCAGAGTATTTTACAGCCTGGTAACAGGGGCAGTCTGCTGTGAGGTAATTGATGTGGGTTTAAATCCCTTCAGGCAGAAAAGAGAATTAAACCTGCATCTCTGATATTCCCCATAAACACTCTAAAAATGAAGCTACTACGTAAAGCTCATCATCATTTTGTGTGAGACCCTCTCCGTGCTCTTAGAACGCTTCATCTGTAAGCTTTAACTGTTTGTGTCTCTTATCACGACAGGCAACAACATATTTTATATGGTATGCAATGTTCAGTGACCAATTGAACCATACTTTAATGAACACTTTTCCCATTAATAGCAACCTGTTGGTAATTGAATCAATACTGGCTCATAAACCATTTTGTGCTAATTGAGAAATTCATACAGCTATTAATGAATATAGAGCTACAGAACTCTAATGGTATGTCAGGAATTTATTTTTTTTTAAAAAAGAAAGAGCAGGGAGAATCACAGAACTGGAGAATCACAGAATAGTTGAGGTTGGAAGGGACCTCAGAGTTCATCTAGTCCAAACTTCCTGATCAAGCAGGGCCACCTAAAGGCAGTTTCCCAGGACCATGTCTAGACAGCTTTTGAGTACCTCCAAGGATGGAGACTCTTCAGCTTTCCTGGGCAACCTGTGCCAGTGCTGGGTCATCCTCATAGTAAATAAACATTTCCTGATTCTCAGTGAGAACCTCCTGTGTTTCAGATTGTGCCCATTGCCTCTGGTCCTGGTACTGGGCACGACTGAAGAGAGTCTGTATCCATCCTCTTTGCACCCTCCTTCAGGGATTTATACATATTAATGAGATCCCCCTGAGCCTTCTCTTCTCCAGGCTGGACAGTCCCAGCTCTCTCAGCTTCTCTTCATAGGAGAGACACTCCAGTCCCTTAATCATCTTAGTGGCTCTTCAGTGGACTCTCTCCCGTAATTCCATCTCTCTCCTGTACTGGGGAGCCCAGAACTGGACACAGCACTCCAGGTGTGCTCTCACCAGTGCATAGTAGAGAGGAAGGATCACCTCCCTCGACCTGCTGGCAATACATCCCTAACGCATCCCAGGATGCCAGTAGACTTCTTGGCCAGAAGGGTACATCGATGGCTCATGTTCAACTTGGCATCCATCAGGACACTCAGGGACTTTTCTGTCAAGTTGTTTCCCAGCTGGGTGCCCCCCAGCATATACTGGTGCATGGAGTTGCTTTACCCCAGGTGCAAGACTTTACACTTTTCCCTGTCAAATTTCGTGATATTTCTGTAAGCCCATTTCTCCAGCTTGTCAAGGTCCCTCTGGGTGGCAGTAGGACCCTCTGGCACATCAGCCATTCCTCCCAGTTTGGTGTCACCTGCAAGAATGAGGTATGAAAAATACAAATTAAGTAATAAAGGAAATCTTACAAGCCCTGCAAAAATGATAGATTGGGATGTGGGAAATCAAACATTGACACAGACGTTGCCAGTCTACGCTTTGATATTGTTAGGATAGTATGCTGTTAGCTATGATATGGGGTGAACTATAGAACACCACAATGATAAAGTCAACGTTAGAGACAGAGGAATCAGACGTGGTGCCAAACTTCAGAGCGAGAATTACACAGAGACTGAAGAATATAAAGTCAGAGGACTCTAACTCAAATGTGGGCACTAGAACAGTGTGGCAGGAGAGAGGTAGGTTTGGTTCTGTGACAAAATGGTACCCATAAAAGGAAGATATTGTATTAATTATTATGATAATGGTAGAATTAGGAGCACTTATGATTTTCATTGCTTGAGGCACTGGATGTGTATCCATATGTTGACTGTTTTCTTTTACACTGAGGGAAATGCATGGGAGAAATAGCATTGACTTTTGATCTCTTCTTGTGGCTTCTCTAAGAGTCACAGATGATAATTTAATAAGCAGTGTTCATTCTATAAGCCTTTTCTGTAACCTCTGCGCCTCCTATGTCCGCTGAGATTATATGGAATCTACTGATAAATAGATTAATAAAAATATTAGATTTTTTTTTAAATCTAAGATAAGATCACTATCATAATAGATATACAACTGTTTACTCAGAACTTCAAACAAGAATACATTTATACAATATTTTTCTGGATATGTGTCAGGGTTTTTTTCAGGAAAACTACTCTATAGTACAGGACAATTTCTGAAAAATACAACTGGATATTACATTTTAATCTGTGGTGTGTGTAAATCACAAGAAGAAAAATGGAAGATTCATTATAGTCTTTAAGGACATTTTATTCTAGATTAATTTTTGCAGTTTAGTTTTGGCAGAATCTGGCCAATTCCAAAGTCATACCTTTTGGGGTTTGGAATTATTTTGAGAAGTCCTAGTTAGGAATTTTCTCTAGCCAGGCTGAACAATACCTAAGAAACAATTCCAGAGGTGAGGAGACTTCATTGACTTCGGTTATCAGGGGCAGAATGTTAACCAGGGCCTCCAGCACATCCAGACTCAACTGTGGTGACAGCAAAACAGCTCGTGGTTTGGACCACAGTATCTGCAACAGCATTTCTGAAAAATTTTCATGAGCAGGTAGCGATTGCCGTTGCCAGTGGTAGCAATGGGAGCCCAGAAAGGGCAGAGGCCACTGAGAGGCTCAGAGAGGCATCCATCTGGCTGCAGTGAAAGTATGCATCCATCACATCCATTCAAACCTTGCTTTTACATATACAACTTTACATATTCCAACTATTGCATAAACTATAGTATATCTTCTCATCCTTAGAGGTAAAAAGGTGTTATCTTATGAATATTGGGAGCATTACTTTGGTACAGAGGGGAGCACAAGGCAAGGATCCCCAAGCAAGGAGTGAGTGAGACAACTCTGGAACTAAAATCCAGGCATCGTGACGTAGACACTAATAAGCCCTTGTAATAGAGTTACATGGATATTCCAGCACAGTGTGGAAATTACTGTTAGTATAGGGATCTTTGCACCTTATGATGAGCAGATGGGTCTTGGCTCACAGACTGACAAAGCAGTTTGCCACAGTTGTCACCCTAGCTCATAAGCACAACTTAATTTAGCAGAACTTACAGTCCCCTAAAACAGAAGAGGTTAGTAAATGCCACACTGGGGCTGAGAGACCAGGTGAGACTTCTGCAGTAATTGTATATATTGGCCATAGCTGGAAGCACTGCGTCTGATGTTGGTATGCCCACAATGATTGTCTGCTCCTGCCCAGGCAATGTGAAAAAAGTTTATATCTGATCTTTATTTTATTTATTTGGGGGGGTGGGGCATGGAGAGCAGGGAGACACAGTGGGAAGAAGGCAGTAGCTAGAGCAACAACTGTATTAGAAAAGGTAAAGAACTGAAATGGGAACAGAAATCTGCTGAGTGGAAATTGTGGGAATGAAAGGTGAAGAGGAAGAGAGATTCAGTGCAGAGATTCAAATTTTGAAGGCCTTTTTAAAGGAGATTGGGGGACCACTGATAAGTGAGTCAGGCTGAATCAGAACGATGTAGGGTAAATAGAATATTGTCCGCAATTTTATTCTAGAAGTTAGAAATTGTGTTAGAAATGAAGAAAGGTATTGCAGTTTGATGAACAATATTGTAGCAAAGGCAAGGGAATGCTTCCCTGGAGAACTGGATTCTAACTCTGCCTCTGGAATCACATTTTTGTGTGATGCTTGCCAGGTTTCATAAGCTGTTTCTTCACAGAGCAGTCATTAGTTTGATCCTAATTTTCTGGGTACCTAACTGGAAACCCAGAGGTCCAGTTTGTGGAAATACAAAACATTCACAAGTGCAACTGGAATAAGTGATCACTCTCTCTGAATGTATCTAATGCTGTCCTCCAAAACAAAACAAAGAAAAAAAAACACACCAAAAAAACCCCGCCTGTAGGCATCTCAGATTGACCACTAAAAAAGTATGTGTGCATTTAATCTTAACGTCTTTCAGCCTTAACATCCAACCTGTAGAAGGGAGATGACACCAGACACTCACCTCATGGCAGTATTGCAAAGACAGGTAGATTTATGAATCAATCATCTGCTGTAGTAATAAGGACTATAGAAAATCCAATGAGAAAATGCAGTCTTTATAGAAAGATTTGAAATACACATCAAATGTAAAATGTGGCCCACATATTGAAGTAAATTTAGAGGAAATTAGGATAATGAGCAGTGTTTTACTAAATGAGTATTGTATGCCTCCTGTCCTGAATAATAATGGAGCTCTCTGGAAAAAACAATAATCACTGTCCAGTCAAGGACTGTGTCATGGTGCTAGGTACAGGGGACAAATTAAAGCTTTCTAAGCAGCCTGAAATATTTGTTTTTCCTAAATTTTGTGTCTGATTTGATTTTTTTTTACTAAGTATATGAGTAATTTTGTATAAGTACAGAACCAGCTGTGTTAATTATGGAGTCAGTTACAATGTAATTTTTCCCACAGACTAGCTCACACCATAGGCTTT